GCAGCACAGGCGCACCGAGCAGAAGGACAGTGTTTATTAGTGGGACAAACACCAAACAATGAGCAGTCCCTAAGATTGCTGGGAGGAACACGACGGCTAATATTTTCCAAAAGGGAAGAGCAGGATTTAAGACAACGATAGACCTGAACAAATAATAATAATAATAATAATAATAATAATAATAATAATAATTCAATTCTTCATTATTTATGTGCTGAGCCAACAGCCGCAAGGCTAATAACAACAATAAGAAGAAGAAGAATTTGTGGCGCATCACCGTTTTGGCCGCCACACTGGAGTGCTTCAAATACCTGACAATATAAACATGACTTGAGGAATTATGACCCCAGGTTGTCGTACAACGCGGACAGCAAGGTGGGGGGTCCCTGCACAAGAGGAATACTGTCCGCCAGACAAATGAAACAAGAGCGGGGAGTTGGGGGGGGGGGCAGAGTCCCGCTGTCCCATTCCTGTCACCCCTCAAGACGAATTGCCCTTATGAAACAATGGACTTTCCAGTCCATCCGTCATTGAGAGATACGCCACACAAACACTAGCCTTCATGCGCAGGCCTAGATAAGAGCTGCTTCGCTGCAATTAAACAAGATAATGACGTCAGATAACAGGCAGAGTTGCCCCTGTATCTCGACGCTACTACAACGGCGCTAGGCGGAGGAGAGGGGTCTGATTCAAGCTTCGGCAACCGCTCCGCTCACCACTGGATATGAGGCTGGTTGGGCCCCTGAGCCAGTCTGGATACAGTCGTAGGTAAAGTTATCTCTGTAACAGGCCGTAGAGGCCCATAGAGTTGTGAGACGTCGAGGTTCCCACATTTCTCTAGGCAATCGGATCACAGATGGCGGTGAGGTTGCCAGCCTTACGCGCCCGCAGCCCTTTACCCCCCTAGGAAGATTCTTGGTGCTCAATTCTGTTAGAGGCTAAGTCGACCCCAGGGCCATAGTGGAAGGAACAGGTAAACTGAAAAAAATCCACCTCATCGGGACTTGAACCCGCAACCTTTCCGCTTGTAATACAGTGCCTCAACCAAGTACGCTACCGCTTGCCCCTGGATCTATTTTAATATGATCCACCCACCGACGTCTTGGTGTTCCTAGTGGTCTCTTTCCTTCTGGCTTTCCCATTAATATCCTATAAGCAATCCTCTTCTACCTCATTCATGCCGCATGCTCTGCCCACGTTATCCTCCTTGATTTGATCATTAGGGTCGTATATTAAGCCAGCTAAGTCCAGTCCACACATTCCTTCCTAATGTCTCGACGACTCACTTTAATAAGTCATTTTCACCCCATTTACCTCCAGCTCTTTGAGAATCCTCCCACCTTGTGATAGCCGGACAAAGGTCCTGCAATCCCATTTCTCCCATACACGTCCATGCTAGCTGATCCCCAGTGTAGGCACAAAGCAACGATAAATTATAGGAACTGACTCTTCAGCCACACTGTCTGGATTTCACCTTCAACGCTTTCTAAACTTTTCTCGACAGCTCTGTCGGTATGCTTGTAGCGACCAGGGCAGGGGCTGGAAGCGCGAGGAACTGGAATTCCATTCCTATCCAATGGGTACCTGGGGCTCTTGCCCCGGGGGTAAAGCGGCCGGGGTGTGAAGCTGAATAGTTACGTCCATCTAGTGCTCAAGTGAAGAATTTGTGAAGAAACACTCTCGGTTCTACATACGTCTTCATNGCACGTGTATATTTCAATTTATGAAGTTTGAGTAAGGTTTGCTTATGGCACTTGCTTAGCAGTCTATTGTGCATATTAAGGCGCGTCCACATTACTCGTGCTCTCCAGGCTTGTGCTCGTCGGGAGACTCGTCTGGCTTTTACTTGTGCCCGTAAATCTTCGTCCACACTACTTCAGTTGCTCGCCAGGCTTCGGCGCGTGAGGATCCGTATATTTACTCGTAGTGTGTATAGGCTGTAGTCGTATTTTAATTTATTGGCTATAGTTTTTAAATCAAAAATTTTAAATTTGCTTGTCTGGTGACTTGTAATATCGTCCACATTATTCGTGAGCATAGCGAGTCACACGAGCACGAGCACGAGTAATGTGGACGCGCCTTTATGTGTTCAGAACCATGAGAACAATGATCATGCGTGACTTACCCCATTCTGCAAGCGCCGTCAGCGAAAACCGAGAAAAACACAAAAATAAAACATATTAGAAAACATAAATGGTCCATTTTCAGTTTTACAAGTCACATAAAAATAATCATGGGTGGAGTTTGCTTTTATTAGTTAACTCCACTGAATTACTTGGTTTTCGGACTTTTTCCATCGTCCGGTCTTCTAGAAAACAGAGAACACGATGTTTCGGAAACTAAATCTGTTTCCGTTCTCAGGTAAAGTAGAGGGGGGAGATAGCTACTCAGTCGGACCCCTAAGAAAGAGCTAATCTCAAACAATGGACAACCCCTGTCCGAAAACCCAGTAATTCTGTGTGTTATACACAATCGTCAAAACCCTTTAGAATCTAACTCCATTGAGGTCATCATCCAGAAGCTGACAGTGGCTCAATTCATCAAGCAATATTCTGTCTCTTATGAAATCCGAAGGATCATTACCGTGTCCCCAGACGCCCGCCATTTAAACATATCCTGGCCTGATTAATTTCGTCTACACCTTCATGCCCTATTTCTCGAGGGGCCATGTCAACGTTAAGCTCGCGACAATCCGAAGACGGTAGGTGCTTCCCAGTGTTTCGCAGGAACCTGTTGCCTCCATATTCAGGACGTTACTAATCCTCTACCAAACCACACGGTGTCATATTCTACGGTCGTGAGAACCTAAAATCTCTTACATGTTGACACTGCTTTCCCATGCACGCATATGTTTCCAAAGCGGTCTCTTGCTTTCACGTTTTCTGACTAATCTACATGCAAATTTCTCACTTCCCTACGAGCGTTACATTTCCCACCCATTTACCCTCATATTAACATGCAGCCGGTATAGCGAGTGGCTACGGACCGGACGGCCGAGAGGTCTGAGTTCCAGTCCCAGTAGGGTCAAGAATTTTCTCTTCTCCTTATCCCCGTGGAGCCCACACAGCCTCCTATCCAATTGGTAAAATGTAAAGTTGTCCCTGTGCTGAACTAATTAAGCACAACGCCATGAAGGCGTATGAGGGAGTGGATGTATAGAGCCACATTTTCTTGACTTCGGCACTAGTTGGAGGTGAGTGGTCAGCTTCACGCCTCGGCCGCTTTATCCCCGAGGAAAGAGCCCCCGGACCCATTGTATAGGAGGTTGGCTGAACCCCATAAGTGGTCTGGACGATGTGAAGAAGAGAAAATTCTTGACCCTAACGGGACTGGAACTCCGACCCCTCGGTCGTCCAGCCCGTAGCCCGTAGCTATACCGACTGCGCTATCGGGTACCGGGCGCCTTTCCCACGGGGGCTAAAGCAGCCGAGGGTTGTAGCTGACTACTCATCTCCATCTCATACTGCCGAGGTCTATAACTCCAGGCGCACATATCTTTCCATGGCGTATTGCTTAATTAGTTAAGCACAGTGAAAACTTCAAATTGTTTGCTCTCGTTTAATATGCAGTGAACAATAAATATTATGAAGAGCCTCACTATGTAATTTTCACGGATCTCTTGTTGCTGATGTCTCTTTTTTTTTCCCCCTTGGCACTACAGCCCCAGTGGACCTAGGCCTACCTCCATGAACTTCTCCGTTCACTTCGATTTTTCTAGATCTTACACATTCGGTAGGACTCCTTGGGCGGGTGATCAGCTCGTCGCAAGGCCTCTACCTGTACACAAACACAGAAAAACGCACACACACAAACTAAACATCCATGCCCTGAGTGGGATTCGAACCCACGATCTCGGTTTCCAAGCGAGGGAAGGCAGTACATGCCTTAGACAGCTTGGCTACAGTGACCGGCACTGATGTCCCTTAGATTCAAACATTCTCCTCAGAAATTTGTTCTCAAACATGTTTAGTCTTTGTTCTCCACAAGGCTGGGAGACAGTTTCATAAAGGTAAAAAGGTAAAGCTATCCTTGTAACAGGCCGTGGACGCCCACAGGGTTGTGAGACGTCCAGACTCAAACATTTTCTGGACAGTCGGCTCTCAGACGGGGGTGAGGTTGTCAGCCTTACAATCCGGCCGCCATTACCCCCAGGAAGTTTCGTACCCACATAAAACAACAGAACAGATAAGTTTTGTACAGTGACATGGTATAGAAAGAGATTCAGCATGGCTCTGCTCTGAACGTGAAAGCAATATGTTAACCATAACAGAATTAATACCAGAACATATCAGCTAATATAAAGAAGCCGCATTAATCTTCCCACTGCACTCGGAAGTCAGGAAACAAGGGCTAGCTGTCGGAATACATACATTCTTAATTCCAGAGCGGTTTAACAGTCAAAGCCGGATTTTCTAGTTCAGACAGAAGACCGAATCCGATAGAGACATAAAAACGTACTCTCGAACTACTGCTAACATTTCAGACACTTCGCGCGTGTTGCTGGAAATGTTAGCAGTGTCAAACAAGGATGTCTGCTTGTATACGAGATGAACATGGTTCTATCTGCAGTTTAAAGTTAACGATCAGTTTCTGCATGGAAGCTGTTAGGATATTTGAAGCGAGGGCGTACAGAAGTAATATTTTCGATTAAATATGAAAATGGGCAATTTCTGTAAAAATGATATGAATTACTTTTATGTACGTTACATCCCGCATAAAGAGAAGGGTGCATTAAAATGAAAACCCTCTGTCGGAAAAAATCCACGGGTCCGGCAAATGTAAAATATAAATCTATATAAAATTACTGTTATTGTCATTATTATTATTATTATTATTATTATTATTATTATTATTATTATTATTATTATGATGAAGGTTAGCTCTTCCTAAGGGATCCGACAGAGCAGATGTCTTCCCCTCTCACCTGAGGGCGGAAACAGCTCCAGTTTCCGAAACGTTGTTTTTTCTATAGTCTAGAATACGGGACGATGAACAAAGTCCAAAAACCCAGTAATTTTGTGTTTATTTTTTATTTGAATATTATTTTAAACTAAGGAATAATTGTAAACAAAGCTGCATTGAAGACGGAAGTGAGCGTGTAAAGTGATATATCAATGCAAGAGGATGTAGAAACACGTGTAACATTACTAAATAGTGGGCCTCAGTCTAGTTCCTGACAGTCTCCTACACTAAGTTACAAGTTCTTCCCAGAACTTCTTGTTTTGTTACACAATGTATCATCCGAGGATATTATTACTTGGAGATTAAGTTGTGGCTTCTTAAACACTCATTTCCTCTTTACACCGGAGTGCGTTTCGGCCGTCAAGGCTACGAAACATTTATATCTGATGAGGCCTGATGGAGCGGGCAGATGGCCCCATGGACACACTGCTCGACGCCTGGCCCACAGCCTGATAAGAAATACTGTTCTCTCTCAAATGAAAAGACGCGTGGCTCGTTTATTCCGCTCGGGGTTTCAGTCACAGAAAATAGCCGAGGGATTCTTTGATAATTTCTCGACATTTTCTCAACTGCATTGGTCAGAAATTCCAGGGTCGAATGGGAAGCTGATTATGAATAATGTCTTAAGGAAAGGCCGTGTCATAGCTCAGGCAGTTAGTCGCCGGTTTCCCACTGCAGCGGCCCGGGTTCGAGCCTGGGTGACGCCATGTGGGATCTGCGGTGGACAAAGTGGCACCGGGGCAGGTTTTCTCCGAGTACTTCCGTTTCCCCTGACAATTCGCATTCCTCGATTGCTCCACACTCATCACCTATCGTCCGGGACTGTTAACAATAGGCCAAAAGTGGCCGCCGTACCAAGTGGACTCCGTCGCATCCCATGAAAAAATAAATAAAAAAATCCTTAAGGATACAAACAAGAAGAAGCGGTCCTGGACTACCTGAGAGTTAAACTTCATAATTCTTCCTCGGGTTGAGGAACGTAACGAAGAACCCATATCAGAGTAATCGGCCCCTGGATCGAAACCTAAAGAGGGCAGAAAAGTTAACTGCTACAACGCGACGTTCAGCAGAAGCAAACATAAGTGGCATTCGTGGGAAAAGTTATTTAACGGCGCTGTAGCTACGTAGCATGCAAGACTNCCCCCCCCCCCCCAATTATTCCGCTTTACAACGGAGCACTCCTCGGTGCTCAGTCAGGGCATCCGTCCTGCATGTAAATTTCCATTTAGCGAAACAATTTTAAAACCAATCTGCCCAAACAGACCGCGCAGTCGCAGCACGGCTTCTTTCCCTCACGAATTAACAACTCTGCCACACAGTGTCTCTATGGGTCCACAACTATAACGCAAGACTCACTTCACCTCGCCCGTCAGTTCCACAGCCAATGCCACATAACAAAACACATGTTTCTATGAATTTCTTTTCCATTGGACCAGAACTAGAACCGGGGTAGCTCAGTCGGTAAATCGGCTGGCTATGGGCAGGACGACCAAGGGGTCGGAGTTCGAGTCCCGGTAGGGTCCAGACCGGCTCTGGGGCCCACCCAGCCTAGTATCCAATTGGTACAGGGGTCTCTCTCCGGGGGTAAAGCGGCCGGGGCGTGAAGCTGACCACTTACCTCCGACTAGTGCCGAGGTCAAGAAAACGTGGGTCTATACATCCACTTCCCCATACGCCTTCATGGCGTAGGACTTAATTAGTTAAGCACAGGGACAACTTTACTGAACCAGAACTTCCTGAGCTCCAGCCCCCACTACACTTATCTGTAGCCCCCCTCCGAGTTCTGGCTATGTACACTTCGAGTGACCGAGTACCAGTCAATCAAGATGCTGAGATGGACACAGCGGTTTACCAGTGGGCACAAGACGCCACTAAAGAGAAGTTCCTTGAATATTTTCGAATGTAGATAAACAGTTGACATATTCATTCATTCATTTATTCATCTGTAATCTGTCAAGACGACAGGTCCACAGTCTCTTCCAAAACAGTTCCTACACTTGATGCGATCTAGAGCTTTCTCCTTCAAATGACAGTATCCTCTTCTGTCCCTAAGGTCATCCAGCATCTTCTTACGTCTTCTTCCTCGTCTTCTTGTCACTTCTATCCGCCCCTCTATCTTTCCTTCGATAACTTCTTTTAGAAGGCAGTTTCTGCGTAAAACATGACTAATCCAATTAGCCTTCCGTTTTCTTATTTCGTGTAGGATATTCATCTGCTCACTGACTCTAATTAACACTTCTTCCTTTCTCACATAATCGGTCCAACTGATCTTCTCCAGCCTTCTCCAACACCACATTTCGAAGCTTTCCAGGTGTCTCTGATCTACTGCCCTAAGTGTCCAAGTTTCAGCCCCATAGAGAGCTATGCTCCAAATATAGCATTTCACTGGTTTCTTTCTCAAATTTAAGTCCAATTTGCTGGTAAAAATATTCTTCTTCTTGCTAAATGAAGCTTTTGCCATGGCAATCCTAGATTTAATTTCACACGTACACCTTCCATCATCTGTTAACATGCTACCAAACTATTTAAATCATTTCACATTATCCAGTTGTTTTTGGTCTATATTTATTGTGACTGGGGTTGGGTGTCTCGAAATTTTCATTACTTTTGTTTTCTCCACATTCATTTCCATGCCATAGCACCTTCCAATTTCAATTAGTCTATCAATCATGCCCTGTAGCACAGTTTCTTCCTTAGCCATTAACACAAGGTCATCTGCATATTTCACAGTTTGAATAATTTGCCCTCCTACTTTGAAGTCACC